ATATATATACTGTATATACACTTAGCATTGCAATATCCAGTCATGTTTTCCATTCAGCTCAGTTCTGTTCTGTTGACACTGATGCCCATTTTCATTCAGTTTGTGTGCATTTACATTACCCTGAATTATAGTAAAAAGTTAAACTATGTATACACATATCAAACAAAGATATTTGGCATAGAATATATTTTTTAATGTTTGTTCTCTATTCCAATAGTGCAACAATTTTACATACAATAGATGCAGTGTGTGTATGTGTGTGTATATATATATATATATATAACCCCCCCTCCACCAGTCTTTACACTTGGCATAATGCAGTCAGGAAAGTACCGTTCTCCTAGCAACCGCCAAATCCAGACATGTCCATCGGATTGCCAGACAGAGAAGCATGATTCGTCACTCCAGAGAATGCATCTCCACTTCTCTAGAGTCCAGTGGTGGCGTGCTTTACACCACTGCATCTGACGCTTTGCATTGCACTTGGTGATGTAAGGCTTGAATGCAGGTCCTCGGCCATGGAAACCCATTCCATTAAGCTCTCTATGCACGGTTGTTGTGCCAATCTGAAGGCCACATGAAGTTTGGAGGTCTGTAGCTATTAGCTCTGCAGACAGTTGGTGACTTCTGCGCACTGTGCGCTTCAGCATGCGCCGACCCTGCTTTGTAATTTTTATGTGGCCTACCACTTTGTGGCTGAGTTGCTGTTGTTCCCAGTTGCTTCCACTTTGTTATAATACCACTAACAGTTGACCATGGAATATTTAGTAGCAAGGGAATTTCACAGATGGACTTATTACACAGGTTGCAACCTTTCACGCTACCACGTTAGAATTCACTGAGCTCCTGGGAGCGCCCCATTCTTTCACAAATGTTTGTAGAAGCAGTCTGCATGCCTAGATGCTTGATTTAATATACACCTGTGGCCATGGAGGTGATTGGAACACCTGAATCCAATGATTTGGAGCGGTGTCCCAATACTTTTGATAATATAGTGTGTAGGTGTATATATATATATAGTGCAATATAAATGGGTAAGCCGTATTAGTCCAGTAGACAAGATGTCAAAAAAGACAAAAACACAGTATTGCAGTGTGCAATGATACCTTTCTTATTGGACTAACAAAATATATAAAAGACAAGTTTCCGAGAGTGAACCTCTCTTCTTCAGGTCAGAAGCAATACTAATCAACATGACAGTTTGTCAGTTTAGGCCCCGTTCACATATAGCGACATACCTTTTGCAGCGGATCCCCACGGCCGGGATAGCGCGACTTTCGGGGCGACGTTCCAGCGACGACCCAGCGACGGTAGCGCGACCTTCCCCGTCGGGCTCCATAGAAAAAAAGTAAAATTGCGCAAAATCCGCCGAAAAAAGGGTCCGGTAGAAGCGACTTGCGACCTTATTTAATCACAAATTCCAGTTCTGTTGATATAAGGATGCTCGTCATTTTGATTTACTTTGTGTACATTTACATTACCCTGAATAATAGGGATAAAAAGAACAATATGGGCATAAGAATGCATTTAGGCTTAACCAATTATCAGGTACAAAACAGATTTTGATTTTTGGTGAATGGCAGGACACACTCATGCTAGTCAAGAACCCCTTTTTAAAAAAAATTGTGTCTGCTCTCACCTGTATATTTGCACAAAGTTACTACAAAAATACAATGACCCTTTAATAGAACATTCAAAAAAGTTTGCTTTTGTGTTCTTTATTAAAATAATTTTGTCTCCTGTGTGCATATTAATGAGCATACTATGTGATATACTTATTCAAAGGTAATAGAATTATGCATTACACATATTGCTAACTGATTGCATGTATATATTTTAATATATAAATAACGAAATAAATAACTATGCTCACTGTGCAGAG